TATCAACGCACAAACCAACGAAATTAGAAACATGCTTTGGCTTTGGAAATTTTCATTGACAGATGCTCATTTGAATATTTCAATTCGGGACGAATTTTTTGTGTGTCTTCAATTCAATTTATCGGATGACAGCATTTCATTTGAACAATGTCGTAAAAGATTTCATTGTGACTGTCGCTTAAGCAATATTATTCAAATTTTCTTTTCGGTAAATTCTAACGGCTTCATCTGTTCTTCAATTTTTCCTACTGTATTTTCAAACAAGGTCGCTTTCTTCGTATACAAATACATGGGAAAGTTTTGACGTAAGACGCTAAGACGCCTCTACGCGTGGAATGCTCGAAGCTGTCATCGTACACATGTTGAAAACGCACATTATCGTTTACACAATCGCACTCATACAAATGAATGCATCGACTGTGCCCGCTCAATATATGTACGATGACTGTTTTGAGTGTCCCTCGCCTAGAGGGCTGTGTGTCGTTTTTCTTCGTTAATTAAGCGATCTGGTTTCAAACATCGATCAAACCACTTCGTCTAAATGAATTCAACGAGCATTTGATTTTCGATTCAAAAACGGTTGCGTCACCAATTTCCAGCGATAAATCCTTTGTTCTTGTGGCCACAATATTTGATCAATCGCTTACAAATTGAGTAATATTAAATGCGTCGATCGGGATGGCATAATGTGTTCTGGATAACATTTTGACTGATCGTCGATCAATTAAAAAGGCGAAGAGAGTTCATCTAGATCAATGATTGTGATAACATTTGTCAATATCAATGTAAAGTGTTTTCTTTGTCACCGTTTTTTTGATAAGATATTTTGAATACGCTTAGAGTGTAATAAATGTTGAGTGTTTATTATGAAGATTTAACTTCAATATGAATCTAACTTTGATTCGATAGATCGATTGTGTGCGCATAGCAAATGTTGATATTTAAAGAGTATTCACAGCGGTTACGCCATGGGAAATATGCAAACATCGAACACAAATCTGTCAATTAATTTATTTTTAATGAATTTATATCGATTTTCTGTTGTTGTTGCTGTTGTCTTTCAGTTTGTTTTTGGAATCATTCGATATAAACTCGCTTCGAGAACCCATCCACACAGCAATTAAGACTTAACGAATGCCAACAACTATTCTTATTATTTGCCGTTTGTTCAAAGAAATGTATATATGCTAATTCTGGTTCAGAATTCGGAATGACTGAGCTTTAAAAGATAACTCACGCTGAGACAAAAACTCACTAATTAGAAATACAAATGAAGCGTTTGTTTTTTTCCCCCTCCATTTTCAGCGCTCAACTGACATTTTTCCACATTTGCATGCATGAGGTCAGCTGTATGCTGAGTTATGGCTATAAAATTTACGACTGCGGGAAGAATATTTTAAGGTCATTTCGCAATAAAATCCAAATTTTTTCATTTACGATTTTCGTAAATTTACGATTGTCCATAAAAAAAATAGATGAAGAATCATCCAGCAATGGATGCATCTCATAATGATCTGTGAACATCGAAAACTCTTCTCTTTGAAAATCACGAAAAATCGGACGTGTTGTGAAGTTGAATGCTTTAATCTCAATTGATTCGTTCCATATTAATGGTCAAAGTTTTAAAATATAATATTATAACATCCTCTTATTCATATTCTCTTCTGCAAACCCGCGCAACAAAATATATTTACTTCAAATTTAAATAATTTGGCATGTTCCGCTTTCATTTCAGATAATTAAAGCAAAACGTCATGAAAATGAATTGCTATTTCAATACATCACCATTTTGTCCATCATTTTTTCCCATGTGGTACCACGAGAAAAAACTCGTCTCGGAAAAAAAAAGCGGTAGCTGTTGTACTTCTTTCAATTGAAATAATTTCCATCCATTTCGTTGTGAATAATTTAAATCATGTTTTATTCATGTGAAAGTGTTCGGTTGATGGCATCGTAACTGGGATGTGCTCGCAACAGCGACATGAATCAATGAAATCCGTGTTCCATGCTTAAGTGTGTTGTGTGCATCAGTTGAAATGGCATCGTTGGATGAAAAGTGTCGAATCTAACAGAAATTTATGTGATTTGTCAAGTTGTGTGCACAAATTTGCATTGCAAATAGTTGGCTATGACTTTGTCATTGCTTGAGCGATGATGGTTTCAATTAAAAGTTATTCTTTAATTCGTGTTCCATTTTTTCTTTCGTATTCTCTGTCTCTTTCTTTCTATCTTGCTCTCCGTTGTGTACACTTGAGGAGTTTGCATGTGCAAATCTGGAATTGGAGAGAGGGAAAGTCTTCTTTTTTCTCCGCATAATTTTTCGTTTTATTTCTATCTGCATGAAATTATAGCATCAGTAAAAACTTGAATCGTCCAAGATTAAAATTTACTCTTATTCATGAAGTTTTTTCTTCCCCATGAAAGATCGACGCGAAATAGGATGACTTGGTGAAATTATGCAGGCTCGTTTTTATTTCATATTCCACATCCATAATGATAATCTTTTTGCTGAGCGAAAATTTAATCATTTTCGTCAACACAAAAAAACAAAACAAAAACTACTTCCAGGAATGTTAACATGAAAATGCATGAAAAGCTCAAAATGAATCCAAAACCACTACATTCTTTTGAATATTAAACAAGATTTCACATTTTTCGTCAGTCATATTAATGCCGATGCACAAAGAGCGATAAATTATTCGGAGGCATCAGCTGCATCACGGCCACCAAGACTGCAACTGAGTGGCGAGTAAGCGAGACTAAACGGGAAATACCATGGAACTGATTAATTTAATTTCTGCGAGCTATTGCAAAATAACAGATGAAATTGAATAAAGCGAACGATGTTGGGGGAAGAATACCATCCGAGAAAAAAAAAACTAAATGAGTTCAAATTTTGTAAGAAGTTTTTCCTTCCCAAAAACTTTCAATATTAAAAACTATCGGGAATTTTTCATTCTCTAGCAATGTTTGAGTAAATTCTTGTTTTTTCTTCCAATACTTTGTACGTTTCGATAATCAATTTTGTTAATCAAATACACGAGTGGTTGATCCATTGAAGAAAAATCCACATCAGATTAATGATATTGAAAATAGATGAAATGCTAAAGAAGAAAATTCCATAAAATCCACTGCACTTTCCTCGCTCTTCTTCTTTCTCTTTTGCTCTTGCCCAAACTATCCGGGGAATTCTTGTGTTTGCTTGAACTACTTGCAGCTAGGAGTCTGAAACCCATGTTGCTTATCATCCGCATTTGCTCCGTTTTACGGTTATTTGTTATTCGCTTGGCTTTTTTCCTCTCTCTCTCTCTCTCTCTCGCACTAAAAAGAAACATCGAAATGCTTAACCAGGCATACTTAGCTTCTGCAAAGCTAACAAAACTTCAGCAGTTAAACCCCAAAAAGGAAGAAATAAAATGTACGATAAGAAAGTGAACGAAAAATGTCAATGGCAAAGTTCCGAGTAAGAAAAAAAAACATTGTAAATATATAACAGAAAATGGAATGCAGAAATGTCTTTTCTATGCGAAAAAGAATATTGCATTTTCTTGTGTCAGCCAAAAAGGTGTATATGCGATCTGGTGCTGGTGCTGTGCAAAAGGCTACTATATCGTCAGATTTCAATTTAGATAAGTACAAAAGTTACGATGAATAACAACACATCGTTGTGCGCAAATTTTCAACCATGAAATGAAAAGCAACCTCTCACCGCCGTCGCACAAACGGCTAAATAAAACAGTGAACGAAAAAAAAAATTGTAAACACCACATTCAGCGCGACAGGGCGAGAAGCAACCAAAACATATACAAAAACGTAGATAGAACTGGAGCGGATTGTATTCATTGTGTTGTTAGGACGAAACTTCAAGCTTGAAATCGTTGGGTGTGTGCATAGTTGAGCGCGTTACTGGTGAGTTCGTACCGAATGACACCATAATACAAAAGCAACCAAATCACATGCCGAAATACGAAGAAAAAAAACAAGAACGAACAAGACAACAAAGTTTTTTCAATTCAAAAAGGGATTTACTCTGCAGTTCCCCTTTAACGCTCTGCAACTTTTCTATGCGCGCACACAGACACACAAACCGAATGCAATATTTATCGTCACAATAATTTATTTACCGAAATACACACATCCAGAGTGCAAGTGAAATGCATCGCAAAATGGTACGAATATATGGCACTTTGCATGCACTCACGCGTTGCTTGATTTAATGTCTTTTTATTTGCTACCAAACTACTTGGTCATGTTCATACAATCACTATCTGGAATGGTTGCACTTAGTTCGTTCCGTTTTTAGTGCCATCGAAACGACTTTTGTGCATTTTCATGCAGTCTCAATACGCAAACGATGACAATGACAATCTTTTGCCGACGAAAATGAATCAGGAAAATGGCAACAAAAAGAAACATCCAACAAATCGTATCAGTTGGTGTCGTTTTCATAAAAATCTACATAAGATTACACATTGATGACGAGAGAAAGACATTCGAGCAAAGAAAACCTTTTTTTTTATGACTGTAACTGAATCGAAGCTATTGTCCTTTCTTTTTTAGAGGAACTTTTTTTTCCTCCGATTACAAACGAACGAAGATGAATGAAAGAAAAAGACGATGTAAATCTTTAAAAAAGTATGATCCTCAGGAATGTATTTTCATTCAGTCATTGTATCGCTTTCAATGACAAATAACTCGAGTGCCGAAACAAGGAAAACTGCTGTTCGAAGTAGCATAAATAAATAATCACCTTATAACGAAGCATGCACAATGCACCGTTCTTGTGAACAACGCTCCACTTCGTGCATCGTACATCGTACACGCGCGCGTACAGCATGGAAACATGCTTTATAGGTCACGAGGCTTGGTAAAGGACAAAAGAGAAATTTAAGTGCACTTGATATCAGAATGATAACAACGCAGTTATATTTTATTCAAATAGAGAGAAGAGGAGAGGAAAAAACAGCAACAACATCTCATGAATCTTTGAAATGTTATCTATGCCATTGCCACTCTCAACGGCTACTCTGCGCAAATCGGAATCCATTTCAAGGCATCAATACGGTAAGTCCATTAATTAGAGCAGAATTTCTCGTTTCATGGCTCTACGCCGTGGCAAAGACGGCAATGAATACTTTGCTTCATCGATTTCTTGGAAAACGTCGTCGTTTGTATGTCTCTTCGACGAAGAGTCTTCGTTGGATAGTTTATACTCTGGTATCAACCACTTTGCCTCTGACTTTCAATGGAAATTTGTAATTTCATATTTTAATACTCGTTTTAATGTTCTTCTAAAGAAAAAAAAGTTTGAAGAGAATTTTCTGTTGAACATTTTTTTCCTTTAAATCATTCGAAAAGTCGAAATCAATTCGAAAAACTTACAGTTGTTTATTCAATCAGTTTCTTTTTTTAGTTGAAACCAGAGGAGCTTATAAGTTCGAGCGGTTAAACAATTGTACGAAAATAGAATATCGAAATAATTACTATCATATTCTGCTAGTCAACTCATCAGCCATACTTTGTAATAATTCACGGAATTTCCATTCAACCGTAAATGTGCAAGCGAAAGAAGGCCCTTATATTATATGTAAACTATCGATTTTTCTTTCGAAAAATAGAATATTCTATTTTGATGAACTCTCATCACCGAGAGTGACGTTCGTCTTCCGTGCAATATTTCGCTCGAAGCGATTAGGTATTCCTTGAAGGATTCAAACGAAATGTATCCCACATAAATTTTCATTGAAATATAATAATGGTTTGATTACTTGAATTGCTTCTGTATGGGTGCAAGATGTGCTTGTTATCGTTTAGTTTGATTACATTTGCCCGTTGTGCGTGCTTATAACTGAAGCTGAACAATAGCACACAGTGCGTAGAGAGCGAATCGATATGCGTCAGAATGGCTGGCATATATAATTTTTGTATCATCTAATGCTTTCCAGAAAATGTAAGAGAGATAGAGAATGTGTGTGTATGCGAGAGAGAAATCGTATCAGAGATTCGATGCGTGTGCAATGCTGCATTGAAAATTCGTTGTACATTAGCGTGAGCATGGGTTGAATCTTGATATTATTGCCTCCGGTTCGCACATAATAAATTCAAAATGACGTTATCTCGTAACATTTTATTCATGGGCCCTTGAAGACATTGCCATATCGAATGCAGTGTGTTCGTACCGTCGATCCATCTCGATGCGTGTAAATTATGTAAACTTCTGTGAAGTACACAGCCAGATAGATGCGCATACAAAACGGTCGAATGTTACAACTAATAATGCCTGCTACTGAAGGCTACTGACCGACCGGCTGTCCGTATTCGATTTTGCTCTCTCTCTCTCTCTCTCTCTCTCTCTCTCTCTCTCTCTCTCTCTC